TGTAAAATGTAACTTTGAACGATAACCCCAATCTGGGGAAAAGGGAAAAATGGTACTACAACACCAGTTTCGAGTTGCTTTTTTACCTTCAGGACAAAAATGAGAGTAAGGGACAGTTTTTGTTTGTTTGTTTGTTTTAAGGGATAGTTTTAAATTATTAAGTTATTTGCTACTCTTGTCAAACTTAGAATTATAAGCAACCTCAAAGATCATCTAGTTCAACCCATGCATTTGGAAAGTAAGGCTAAATTACATAATTATTCAAGAATATGTGCTTGATTCTATATATCCAATGTCTTCTCCATAGGAAGTTATAGTTGGTCACCCCTGCCTTCTTGAATTTTTGTTTACACCATACACACTCTCCTGATTTTCCTCTGATCTTAGTCTTCCTTGCAGAATACTCCTCATCTTTCGCACCTGTATATATGAGATGTTTTCAGGGCGTAGTCCTTGGTCCTCTTCTATTAATATCTATACTTACACTGTAGGTGATCTCAACTGGTCTCATGGTACTAAATATCATCTACATGCTGATGGCTCCCAGTTTGTATCTATTGCTCTGATCTTTCTCCTGAACTGGATATCCAGCTGTCTACTTGATACCTTCATTTAATTATCTAATAAATACCTTAATCTTAACATGTTCAACCTGAATTCCTGATTTTCTTCCATGTCCAGGACAATTCACGCTCATTCCATAATCTTTTCCACGTGATCCACTGCTCACCAGTTGCTCAGGTCAAAATCCTTGCAGTCATCCTTGATATTCCTTCTGTCATACACCCAGCCCATTAGCAAATGCTGTTTTTTCTTTTTTTTATCTTCAATAGATTTCCCAAATCTGACCACTCTGACCACCTATGCAAATCTAGCCTAATCAATTAACTTCCTAATTAGATCTCTGTTCTCTCTGCTCTTCATCTTGCCCTTCTCCCCTGGAGTACTCTTCCACATGCATTCAGAAAGTCTTTAACATAAGGCCTTGCATGATCAGGACCTTACTTGCTCTCCTGTGTCATTTTCTACCAACTCTCTTCATGCTGCTCCAGCCGCTCTGGGCTTTTTGATTTTTCCCGCACACCAAGTTCATTCCTGCGATGGGATCCCGGCACCTGCTGTTCTCTCCAGAATGCTCCTCTTGCATGGCTGATTCCCTCACTTGTTAGGCTTCTGTTCACGTCACTCGCAGGAGCCTTCCCCCAACACTACCTTGATCTAAAATAAACCCCTGTCATCACTTTCTATCCCATTTATCCTGCTTTATTTTTCTTTAGACAACTTATTACTATCTGACATCGTATTACAAATGTATGTCTTCACTGTCTATCCACAAGGGCAGGAATTTAGTCTGTTTTTTCACTGTTAGAGCAATGCCTTGCACATCTTAGGTATTCAATAACTAGTGACTAAATACATGACCAAGTATTCGGCCCTTTGAGTGAGTGGCCTCCTCTACATACAGACAGAGAAAGATCATTCTGCTTAGAAGGTGCTGACAACCCTAAAGTGGTTTCTGTTTTTATGCAGATGATCCTAATTGCTTCTGAAGCACTCTTAAAAGAAAAGTGAGTCCGTTTTTGTTCTCATAGCGCCTACAGTTGCCATGCTCTCACTTTTGGTTGCATTGTTTTTATTTTCTTAATCTCTGATCTTGGTTATTAATAGGACAGTCAGCAAAGATTTTATCTGATCAATACAGCACAGGATACCTGCATGTTGGTAGAGTCAAAGAATGCTGTAGACCTAAATGTTACAGTGAATCCAGTTAAAATTCTACCAGCCTGGGCAACATGGCAAAACCCCATCTCTACAAAAAATACAAAAATTAGCCAGGCATGAGGCACATGCCTGTAGTCCCACCTACTGGGAGGCTGAGGACAGAGGATTGATTGAGCCCCGGAGGTCGAGGCTGCAGTGAGCCATGATCATGTCACTGCACTCCAGGCTGGGTGACTGATCAAGACTGTCAAAAAATAAAAGAAAGAAAGAGAGAGAGATAAAGAGAGAGAAAGAAAAGTAAATTTTAAGTTTATACCTTTTAAAAAAGGCACCTTAAAAATCAGTAAGTTTTAATTTTTAATAAGATAAATAATTTATTCTATCAAACATCGCCAATGTCAACATCATTTCTAACCTTTCAAAGAACATAGCATAAACCATAAAAGTTGTCTTACTGAAATTAAATCTTCGTGAGAGATGGTTTTAATAGACTGGGTTTTTAGCAGTGAAGTTAAAGAATGATAGTTTAGTATACAGAAAGAAGCAGTTAAGGTGACACTTAGTTCTTCATGATGCACTGTAAGCACAAATTGGATATCATATGATAAGTAAAAAGGATGGTCCTTCTGGGCAAATAAAAATTAAATAGGTCCTCACAGTGATATGCAGTCTCCAAACATCATCTGCCTAATTTCTCTCTCTCACCCAAGATACAAAGTTAAGTTGAAAGATTAAAATCTGCCTCCTTGTTACTATTTCACAAATAACACAGATAGTACCACATTAGTGACTAAAATCCAGATATTTTCCTTTTAGATAAAGTCATATACATGGTAAAATACTTATTTTTTAAGAGAATCAATAAAGCTATATTCATTTTCAGTAGAAAATGTGGCTCATAAACACTTTTGTTTCTCTGAAATTGCCTCTCAGGAAAAAACGTGATCCTTACTATTGATCTAATAGAAATCTGCATGAAGCAATGCTGTAGTTTATGCTTTTTTTTTTTTTTTTTTCCTGGAAGGTGGTGGGTGACCTCTGGAGGCAACTGGAAAAAATATCCTGCTGCTTTCAAAAGTGAAGTGGGGAATGAAGAATCAGAAAGTAGAGCTTTCCATTTAGAGAAGGTCTTTCTTTACCTTTAGTCAGGGTGAATTAAAATATTTAATTTTAAAATGGCTTTACTGAACCTCAATTCAGTTAGGTAATAAATCGATTCTGTTAGGTAATAGTTATTAAGTGTGTAATACAATGTTAGGGGAGAGACATATAACACTAACAGTTTCAATCTCATTGAGTTTATAATCTACTAAGGAACTGAAGATAAGTGCTAAAAGAACACGAGGTAAAACCTGTGACAAGATTTAGGAGCAGCACAACTAAGTAGGAATTAGTGAAACTAAACCAGCATCAAGACTGAAAGGCAGGTCAGAAAAGACTGACACCAAAGTAGGTTTTTTGTTCTGTTTTGTTTGGTTTTTTTTTGGTTTTTGTTTTAAATATGGATTCTCCAAAGATAGGTAGAAAACGTCCTGGTTTGGCATCATTAGTCTACTTCAGCCCCTCTCTCACTGATTACAACTAAAAGACTCATGACAAAACACAAATGGCAACTGCCTGTAGACTCTGAAAAGTAAATAAAGAATTGAGGTAGGGAGTCAAAACTTAGAAACTTGCAAGGGGATGAATTTCCTGGCTTTTTTTTTCTTGTGGTTTGTCCTGAGGAGACCCCAGTTGGGAACTGTCGGGTGGCATGGGTAGCTAAAACTCGAATAAAAATCCCATGTTTCTGCGCTGAAAGGAAAGAATTGTTAGCCCAGAACTCTATTTTCAGTGAAAATATTTTCGGGAATCAAAGTGAAATAAAGACATTCTCATATGAAGGAATGCCAGCTGACCTGCTCTAAAATAAATGCTTGGTGGGCTGGGCGCGGTGGCCCACGCCTGTAATCCCAGCACTTTGGGAGACTGAGGCGGGCGGATCACGAGGTTGGGAGTTTGAGACCAGCCTGGACCAACATGGTGAAAACCCGTCTCTACTAAATACAAAAATTAGCCGGGCATGGTGGCACGCGCCTGTAAATCCCAGCTACTCAGGAGGCTGCGGCAGAAGAATCGCTTGAACTCAAAAGGCGGAAGTTGCAGTGAGCCAAGATCACATCATTGCACTCCAGCCTGGGCGACAGAGCGAGACTCCGTCTCAAAAAAAAAAAAAAAAAAAAAAGTTAAGAAAGAAAGAAAAAAGAAATGCTTGAAGGGGCATGGTGGCTCATACTTGTAATCCCAGCACTTTGGGAGGCCAAGGCAGGCAGATCACTTGAGGTCAGGAGTTCAAGACCAGCCTGGCCGACATGGTGAAACCTCGTCTCTACCAAAAAGCACCACAGCACTCCAGCCCGAGCGACATAGGCTCTGTCTCAAAAAAGAAAAAACAAAACAAAACAAAACAAAAAAGCGGGGGTGCAGGTGGGGGGAAGACTTAATGACTGAAAATAAGTCTGGAGAGATGGGTTGCAAGGAATGATGAGACTCAGTTTTGTAGTCTGGGAGCCTAAGTGGATGAAAGTTGGAAGAATCAGGTGGAAAAGAACATTTCCAATGGACGGCAAAGAAAAGTATATAACATTTTGAGGCTGTGGTCCGCTTTGTTAAAGAGCAAAAGGAAACAATTCCTCAAATCGATGCCACGCTCCACTTCTTTACAACGATGGAATTATTTCAGGAATTGTGTTTGAAACCACAGCTTTGGATCTCGATTTCTTTCTTGAGCTACTGTTACACTGTTTATATATGGCCACTAATTCGATGACTGAGCTTGGGCAAATTGTTAATTATTTTCTATGACTTAATCTTTCTATCTGTACAACGGGGATAACGTGGAATTTGGGGTGTTATGAGGGTTAACTGAGATAATATACGTGATAACTTACAGAATGACGTTCAACAAATACTTGTGGAGTGAAAGATGGGCGACTCATCGAGAGATCTCAGGGATTTCAGAAAGCTGTATAAGGACCAGATCTTCAGGCTCCCTCCGCTCCCCAGGAGACCGGGAAGCCGGCGCGAGGAGCTACGGTGCAATTCTTGGCCCATTTTCCTCACAGTGGTTTGGCGCATTTTTACCTCTTGATTCTCTGGTCCCAGGCTGCAGCTTCAGCTCGCTCCGCCATGGGGCGCCAGTCCGGCAGCCTCTGTGGGCTCAGCTAAGTATGATGCCTAGGCTAGAGAGCCACGTCCGGTCTCTTAGGCAACCATATCAACTTCCGGCTTGAAGCGCGATCCCTGTTGGCGAGAGGCCACATTTCCGTCACGTGACCCGCGCATGCGCCTGCTTGCGGGAGCGCTGGCGTCGGTTGATCCGAACACCTGCTGAGTTCGGAAGTTCGCTTTCTCTGCCCCGGCTCGGGGCGGTCCGCTGGGAGGTGGCGCCCGGAGGGACAGCCGTGCCTCGGGGCGGGGCCGGTGCTCGTCTCGGAGCTCCAGAGGTTCCGCTGAGAAGCACGGCGGCAGCAAGACGACTTCTCCGGAGCCGCCGAGCTGGAGTTGGAAGTGGAGCTCCGTGGGGCCGGGCCCCCGGCTGCGGGGCAGCGGCTCCTGCAGGGGGAGGCCCCGGCGGAGAATGAGCCGGAGCCGGAGGTGGTGGTGGTCTCCCGGCAGAGCGGTGCCACCGGGAGCATGCTGCGATGGTTCACCACCTTGATGCTGTTTGCTTCCTTCCTGGGGCTGGTGAGAGCCGGTTCTGCAACCCTCCCAGGCCGGGACGTTCGAGTCTCGCCTTCGCCACTTGAAAACTGACCTTAGGCGTGTTACCTAATCTGTCTGGACCTCAGTTTCATTATCTGGAAATTGGGCACAATTCTAATCTTGGAGGGTTATTGTCAAGTGCAAAATAGATTTTCTGAATACGTTTTTCAGCTCCAGCAAGGCTTTTTTTTTTTTTTTTTTTTTGACAGTCTCGCTTGTTGCCCAGGCTGGAGTGCAGTGGCGCAATCTCGGCTCACTGCAACCTCCGCCTCCCGGTTCAAGCTATTCTTCTGCGTCAGCCTTCCGAGTAGCTGGGATTACAGGCGCCTGCCACTAAGCCCAGCTAATTTTTGTATTTTTAGTAGAGACAGGGTTTCGCCATATTGGCCAGGCTGGTTTCGAACTCCTGACCTCAAGTGATCCTCCCGCCTCTGCCTCCCAAAGTACTGGTATTACAGGCGTGAGCCACTGCGCCCGGCCCAGCAAGCCTTCATACGGCTCCTTGGTGGAATGGGAAGGTTGTAAGAAGGGTTGCCCAGGTCTTTGGCCGCTGCTCTGCGCACCCACCCACTCAGCCCCCAAATTATTACACAGAAAAACTACTTTTCTGGAATTTCTTCCTGGTAGTCTAACCAAATTCAGCCAACCGCTTAATTTTGCAGATAAGGAACTAGGCCCGGAGGGGAAAGTGACTTTCTGGATCACACAGCTGGTGAAGTGATAGAGCCAGAAATACGTGTCTTACTCTGCCCGCAGTCCTATTTGTTAATAAAACCAACCTTGAGATTCTTAAATGTTTTTCTTGGAGCAAAGGGCAAGCCTAGAAGCGCCTTTTGCCAAATGCCTGGGCCACCGCTCACTTCACTTTTCGGAAACCTCCTTATCACTTGATAATTATGATCCTGGGGGAGTTGAGAGGATGAGTCCTCCCAAGAGTCTTTTGTGGTCACTTACCATCTCAGGGACTCTGAGCTACAATTGTTTCTTAGAGTATTTTGATGGGGGGCGGTGGGGAGGGGTGAAGAAAGAAATCACTTCGGACTTTTGGTGAGTTGTCACTGACTGTCAGGTCCTGTTGTAAATCCTTTGAAAACATTAATTTGATTAGATTCTGTGCTCAGGCTTCTCTCGAAGTACTAGGTGCTTGCTGTGCACCTGGGCCCACGTTGGTCCTTAGCCTTGGACTGTTATGGGTTGGGCAGGGGCGCACCCCATGCATTTAGAGCAGAGCAGGGCAATTAGAATCAGTTATTCTGGAAATGTAGACTGATTGGAAACATTTTTTTCTCTTAAGTGTCCAGTGAATTTCCTCTGAAAGTCAACTGTAATCCTTAGTTCTTGCTGACACTGCATTGTCTTTGAGTGAAGTTTTATTGTCAGAGTCATTCTATATTTGGGCGTGGAATAGTTTCTAAGCAACCTTTACTGACTGTAATTCTGATGGCTTGGAAGAAAAGTGTGGATTTAGAAACATTTAAATTGTTTATCTCCTGTATGTTTTATATGTGTAGTTCAGGGGAAGAACCCCATGTGCATCCAGAAGTATTGCTGTTTAACAACATAAAAAACAGGAATCATATTTTGATGTTTTGATCAATGTTTTGATGTTTTCCAGTGGCTCAGTCAGAACTCAACTATAGTCTCAACCTCAGGGCTTAAGCGATCCTTCCATCTCAGCCTCCCTAGTAGCTGGGACTACAGGCATGTGGCACCATGCCTGACTGATTTTTTTATTTTTATTTTTGTAGAGATGGTTGCTTAGGTTGCTCTCAAAATCCTGAGCTCAAGCAATCCTACCACCTCTCCCTCCCAAATTGCTGGGATTACAGGCGTAAGCAACCACGCCTGACTTAATTTAATTAATTATGATTTTTTTTTTTTTCCGAGACAAGAGTCTTGCTCTGTTGCCCAGGCTGGAGTGCAGTGCTGCAGTCTCGGCTCACTGCAACCTCTGCCTCCCATGTTCAAGCGATTCTCCTGCCTCAGCCTCCCAAGTAGCTGGGACTACAGGCACCCACCACCATGCCCAGCTAATTTTTGTATTTTTAGTAGAGATAGGGTTTCACTGTGTTAGCCACGCTGGTCTCAAACTCCTGACCTAGTGATCCGCCTGCCTCGGCCTCCCAAAATGCTGAGATTGCAGGCATGAGCCACCGTGCCCAGCCAATTTAAATTTTTAACACCCAAATTCTTATTTGTACATGTAGTGTATTTCAAAATATACGAAACCATTTCAAGAATAGTTTTAATACATTTTATTAATACAGAGTAGTAGTTTAAAGGTATTGTTCAGAAAGGAAACAGGATTGCAACAAAAAAATTTTTTTAAAAATTGAGAGGTGTCAAAACTTAAAAAAAAAAAAAAAAGAGTTTTAGTCAAAACTGAAAAAACAGTAGTCTAATTCCCTATATCACATTTTAAATCCCAGACCCTCCACCCCTTTTTTTATAGTGGAAGAAACTACCACATAGTCAGACATTATTTTAATAAGTAAAAACTTTTGTCTTTTTAAATTTTAGGGATTGAGTGTTGCTATCGTGGGACCCACGTTTCAAGATTTGGCAACAAACGTGAACCGAAATATCAGTAGCCTGTCTTTCATTTTTGTGGGTCGTGCCTTTGGATATTTGAGTGGCTCTGTGATTGGTGGATTGCTTGTTGATGTCATGAATTACTTTTTACTTTTGGGTAAGTAAATGCTAATTTTAGCTTCTTTATGACTGTTGGGGAATTTACAAGTTGTCCTTGAAAATATGAAAATACTAGCATGCAGAATGGTTGGCAACTGAAATGGGTAGTGTTTAGGTGTTCTCAATGGCAGTTGAGTTTCCCTGGTACCTGCTTTCACCTTGACAGAGGGAATCTGTGCTGGGGCCCTCTGGAAATTTCGATTAGCTCTAGAATGTGTTAGCAATCCTTAGCCTTCCCAACCACTGTAATTTAGATACCACTCCTGGATCACACACTGATTGTCCAAAAAACTCTGCTTATCAGGGTTTAGCGCAGATTTCCTGGGGTCACCGCAGATTAGAATGAGCTCCTTGAACCTGCCCAGGCTACACGCTGGATTGGGAATGAAGAGGGGAGGAGGGGTTGGGTGGACTGATGTAGGCTATGTTTTTGTCCCTGCTGCCCCATGTTGTCGTTGGACAACCCCAGAGTGCTCTGTCTCACCCTGGAATTAGATGGCAAAGCTGCTTTTTTTTTTTCGAGACAGGGTCTCCTCTTCCTCTGTTGCCCAGGCTGAAGTGCAGTGGTGCGATCTCTGCTCACTGCAACCTCCACCTCCTGGGCTCAAGCAATTCTCCCATCTCAGCCTCCCAGTTAACTGGGACCACAGGTGCATGCCACCATGCCTGGCTAGTTTTTGTATTTTTAGTAGAGCCAGGGTTTCACCTTGTTGCCCAGGTTGGTCTGGAACTCCTGAGCTCCAAGGATCAGCCTCCCAAAGTGTTGGGATTACAGGTGTGAGCCACCACACCTGGCCTGGCAAAGCTTTTAACGTATACCTTTTTTGAATAAATTGGAATAGTTAGAGAAAATTTAGATTAATATGGTAAAATTCTTTGGAAGCAAGAATAGTAATTTGTTATTGTAATTAATAAATAATCCCTCTTATTTCCAAAGTGGGTTGAAAGAACATATTTCTTGTATTTTCCTCTCTACTTCCCAAACTAATTTATTTAGTAAATTTTACTACAAACTACTGTAGTAATTGCATTTTATTTTTGTCCTTTTAATTTTTTTCCTCTTGTCTAAAAATTCCTGATAGGTTCTTAAATGTGAGTCATTTAAATTAATTTTGGCTTCTCTCTTTTGGTATAAAACTTGGCCTTATGGTATAATTTACAGTTTGATTACTAGCAGTGCTGGAAATGTATTTGTGTTATAATTATTTAGATTTCATAATCCATAAAGATTATAAAAGATTCAAATGAAATAACCACTTTTAGAAGCAAAAACTCTGATCTACTCCATACCTAATTTAAATTTGACCTGATTTTGCATGTTTGGACATTTATGATGTTGACTTGATCCATGACTGCATGGATATTATTTTTTATAGCTGACTTTTTACTTTCCCAGGAATCTCGATGTTGGCTACCACAGTTGGTCTTTATCTTGTTCCTTTTTGCAAGACAGCAGTGTTACTCACTGTCATGATGTGTGTCTTTGGTACTTCAATTGGCATTCTGGATACAGGTTAGTGAGCTCTTACAACGTCATCTCTGGGAGTAGGGACTTTCTGCTAGAAGAAGTACAGCAGATGATATTCAGCTATCACTTGCAATGCCCCCTAAAATGACACATACCTACTGACTTGGTCATGAGTCACTCAGAATGAATCACCCTTCTAGCAGCTCTTCTTACCAATTAAGGGGACTGTTTCTGAGCTGCCAACTCTGAAATGAACTTAAAGAATTTTGTTCTATGAGCGATAGTTGATTTACAGTGCCCAAACAGGGAAGGGCCCCTATGTGGGTAATTACAGTGCAGGTGAATAGGCTTTCATCTTGGGTAGAACTTTATCGTGCTAGTATGGGAGGAATTGATGGTTTAATAGGTTAAACCAAGTTTGGAACTGTTATTTGGCTGTGAAAGCATAGAAGCAGCAATCCAACTGGACATGTACCCTGACTTCCAAGCCAAGAGAGATCCATGGTGTGGGCTAGGCTCTTTTTCTTTTGTGTCCCCAAAGTTCCTGTCCTCCTGCAGTAGATTCTTTCACCTATCATCATGTCTTTTAAAACCTACTAAATAACTGCCAGGTGGTTCACGCCTGTAATCCTAGCACTTTGGGAGGCTGTGGTGGGCAGATCACCTGAGGTCAGGAGTTCAAGACCAGCCTGACCAACATGGAGAAACCACATCTCTACTAAAAATACAAAATTAGCCAGGCGTGGTGGTGCGTGCCTGTAATCCCAGCTACTCGGGAGGCTGAGGCCAGAGAATTGCTTGAACCCAAGAGATGGAGGTTGTGGAGAGCCAAGATCATGCCATTGCACTCCAGCCTGGGTCTGAAAACAAACAAACAAACAAAAAACCTACTAAATAACATAGGTGACATTTGTTTACGCCCTAAAACCAGCTTTCTATCCCTCCCTTCCCTGCTCTGCTGTTACGTGATCTGTTGGGGAAATATTTTGTTTTACTTCAGGCTTAATGTGGTTATGAAATTATAGGGTAAAATTATTTATTTATCTGAAAATATCTGTTAAAAAAAAGAAGATAGCCCAAGATGTGCTGCTTCTTGCCTTTCTCCTTCTAGATATTTAGATAGTATAAAGTCAGATGCTAAACGGTATCCTTGTTTCCTCTAATGGGCACACTAGAATCTTGGCGTATTCAGGTTCCTGGACGTGCGTTTTGCATCTGTTACATATGTAAGTAATTTTCCTCAAGTGGCTCCCAAGAGCAAGTACAGAAAGCTTTGGTAATCTGGCTACTAGCTGATGAGAAAATTTTGCCTTTTAAATGTATATTTAAAATATTAATAAATGTGTGAGTATTTCTTCCCCAGTCTGATGTTAGAACTTTATTATAAAAAGCCTCTAGCTAATGTGCTTGGCTCTAGGAGGTAGTAGTCTACTAGACTGTAGAATTCGATTTGTGAGTATGTGATGTTATAATGCCTAGAGTTGTCCGATGGTAGTGGGTTAGAGTTCCATACTCAGAATTGATTTAGTTGCAGTGTTTGATAATTAGAATATTATATGCTTGTGCTGTGTAAAATAGACTCACTCCTTTCTGATAAGTGAACTTTTTTTTTTTTTTTAAGATAAGTTACTGTGTCTAACTTAAATAGTTTTTTCCGTCTTTCATTGACAGGTGGTAACGTCCTTATCTTGGCTCTTTGGGGGGACAAAGGAGCCCCACATATGCAGGCCTTACACTTCTCTTTTGCCTTGGGTGCCTTTTTGGCTCCACTGCTAGCGAAACTGGCATTGGGTCCGACAGTGTCTGCTGAAAACTGCACAGAGTCTGACTTTCATCATCCTGCACTCAACCGATCATCTGAGGCTGACTCAGAAGCTCTGTTTGGAGTACCTAATGATACGAATTTACTGTGGGCTTATGCTGTTATTGGTACTTACATGTTCTTAGTTTCTGTCGTTTTGTTTGGTCTGTTTTTCAAGAATAGCTCAAAGCAGGAAAAAACAAGAGCATCTGCTCAGACATCTCGAAGAGCAAAATATCACAACGCCCTTCTTTGTCTCCTTTTTCTGTTCTTCTTTTTTTATGTTGGAGCCGAGGTAACATATGGCTCTTACGTTTTCTCATTTGCAACCACCCATGCTGGCATGAAAGAAAGTGAAGCCGCTGGGTTGAACTCCATCTTCTGGGGGACATTTGCAGTCTGCAGGGGCCTGGCAATCTTTTTTGCTACCTGTTTACAGCCTGGAACCATGATTGTGTTGAGCAACATTGGCAGCCTGACTTCATCTTTATTTCTGGTGCTTTTTGACAAGAAGCCAATTTGTCTCTGGATAGCAACTGCAGTGTATGGGGCTTCAATGGCAACCACGTTTCCCAGTGGTATTTCTTGGATTGAGCAGTACACGACCATCCATGGGAAATCTGCAGCGTTTTTTGTAGTTGGTGCTGCCCTGGGAGAAATGGCTATTCCTGCAGTCATTGGAATTCTTCAAGGAAAATACCCTGATTTGCCTGTAGTTCTGTATACCTCTTTGGGAGCATCAATAGCCACTGGTGTTTTATTTCCTGTGCTATATAAATTAGCCACTTCACCTCTTGATCACCAGCGAAAAGAAAACAGAAAGAGTGAGGACCAGAAAGCTTTGCTTTCTAGCTCTGGGCTAAATGAATATGAGGAAGAGAATGAAGAGGAGGATGCAGAAAAATGGAATGAAATGGATTTTGAAATGATTGAAACGGATGATACAATGAGGCATTCTATAATAGAGACATCTAGAAGTAGTTCGATGGAGCCCACAGCTGAAATCTATAACCAATATCCATCAAATGCACTGGTGTTTGAGTCCTCTCCTGTTAATACTGGCAGTTCCATATGAAGCACTTGCCAGAAACCAGGACAAAAGGGACTAACACTTAGAGAAGATGGATTACTCACTGACATCTTTGAATAATTGCCACTTCTAAGGAGGTCATTCAGAGCAGAGCATTAGCAGATTTTCACCATGCTTTGGGGATTAAAATTTTTAGGTCCAAATTGTAGCAAATGCTAAAAAGTTTTGAAATGTTCTGTAATTCCCAGAGTCTTCCATAAGTAACCGAATGGTCTCATACACATGCAATAGGATCTTGTTATAAGGCTAGTATTTCACGTGTGACTGATCAGGAAGTATTTTATGGTCTCCACCCCTCAGAGCACGCAAAGAAGGCATTTGTTTTTGAGAAGGTGGGTGGTGTTCTCATAGAATGAGACCATGTAGGAGTTGAATTGATTGGTTGAACAAATTATCAGGTATCAATATTTTTCCAGGAAAGTTGAGAATAGTTTCATAAAAGAGAAATGGAGAAAGACTTATTAATTGCTTTACCTTATCTGTACGGTTGGATCAAAGAATGCTAATGACTCATTTGATTTCTCATTTCAATGAAGAGAACACAGAACAGGGCCCAAGGGGCCTGGCTTCAAGCCTTGACTCCTAGCCCTGCACTCTGTCATTTAACATAGGCCTTGTTTATCTGGCCTCCTGATCTGTGATTCTAGAAATGGAAATGAGATGATTTCCAAATTGGGAATCCATAAGTTTTAGTTTGTGCAAAATGTCTGCTAGAAATTAGTACAAGTGACAGCGCATTCTTCATTTCAAATGAAAAGTGAAACCAAAATGATAAATAGCTTTAAGAATGTGCTAATGATAAATGATTACATGTCAGTTTAATGTACTTAATGTTTAATAACTTATTTGAATAATTACCTGAAGAATATATTTTTTTAGTACTGCATTTCATTGACTCTAAGTTGCGCTTTTTGCCCCCATACTGTTAACATCTCTGAAATCAGGACATGTCTTGAAAGTAATCATTTAACATTGTGACAAAGTTTAATTGACAGTTTTTTCCATATGTATATATAAAATAATGTGTTTTACAATCAGTGGCTTAGATTCAGTGAAATACAGTTATTTCATTCAATTATGGAGATGATACTATCTTTACAGACATTTTAAAAAGAAGTTATTTTTATATGCTAATATTCTCTGTTCAAATGGGATTTAGAGACACTGTGTTCTAATTTTAAGAGCTGTTTCAGTGTTACTAGATTAGTAGTAGGGCTGTCGATGGGGTCTTTCGAGGTCCTTTGCCTACCTTAGGAACAGAGGCTGGGTCTGAGCCTTGCTCAAGATTAGCTCTTCACCAGGTCTGGGTGGTAATCATATCACAGTTACTGTAAACCGCTCTGCAAGTGTAATTTACAGTGAGGCACAGCCTTTTCCAATGATTGGAATACTTGTGTCACCCATCCAGGCTTTCTCTTTCCTGAGTCTGAAGTACCTGGGAAACCAATTAGAAGGTGACTTGGTGACCTAGAAGTCAAGGATCAGAAAGGATACTTCATATGTATATGGCAGAATTGGTGCAGGTGATCCTTTGGAAAATGACTAGAATTGATGCAATTTTGTTTACTTCCTCCAATTTTATGCTGAATAACTTCTCATTTCTACCTGATTGGAGTAGGCTTGCTTTCTCTGACTTAACTTCTATAAATTTGCCGTTGTTTTGTCTTAAGTAAAATACAGCGTCTTTCTTGACCATGGCCCATTCACCTTATATGCCTGCTACAGTCTTGGTTCATGTCATGACCTAACAGCTTTGGAGAGGGCGGTGACGTTAATGGTAAAAACCCTCTTGCTCTTTTTATTTTTATTTATTTATTGGGGGTGGGGGACAGTGTCTCACTCACTCTGTCGCTCAGGCTGGAGGCAATCGCGTGATCTCAGAGCTCACTGCAACCTCTGCCTCCCTGGTTCAAGTGATTCTTCTGCCTCAGCCTCCTGAGTAGCTGGGATTACAGGTGTGTGCCACCATGCCCAGCTAATTTTTGTATTTTTAATAGCGGGGAGTTTCACATGTTACCCAGGCTGATCTCAAACTCCTGATCTCAAGTGATCCGCCCACCTCAGCCTCCCAAAGTGTTGAGATTGCAGGCATGAGCCACTGTGCCCGGCCCTTTTGCTCTTTGTATGGTGTACTTTTCCCTTAGAACTTGGAAATTACTTCTGCTTCACTTACTGCTTTTTCTCAGGTTGTTGGAATCTAGGCAGTAGCAGTTACTTGGCAGCTAGGAGGCTTGCTAGAATAGGAATTCCACCTTCTGCATTTACTGTTACAGGGTAGAAGATGCAGCTCAGGAAGAGAAGGATGATAAGAACATGGCAGAAAATCTCAAAATCCACACTGGAAAATTCACTATGGTTCCACAAACCAAAATGTGAATGGTCCTATGAGATCATAGGCATTGTTAAAGTTCCATATTGGAAGGAAAAGACTTAGTGCAATTCTAAGAGTTAGCGTTCAGTTCTTAGGTAAGTGTCTGCTGATACCTAAGAAATTAATACCCAAGTGTTCTATTGCTGGGTAACACATTACCACAAATTGAACACCTTAAAACAACAGACATTTACCATCTCACAGGGGCTGCTTCCATACAGGACCTTACTCTTGTAGACTGAGGTCCGTGTTTCTTGCTGACTCTCAGCTGGGCACCGCTCACCTTCGGGAGGCCTCCCACAGTTCTTGTCATGTGGCCCTCTCACAGATGCCTCTCGCAACATGGCAGTTTCTTCAAAGCAAGCAGGAGAATCTCTAAATGAGTCGTTGTATGACGTTATGTCATTATGGGAATAACATCCCATCACCTTTGCCGTATTCTAGTGTCTAGAAGCAAGGTATGAGTTCCACCCAAACTCAAGGGTAGAGGCTAGAACACGGATGTGGGGGTCACCTTAGAGCGTGCCTGCCACACACCGGTAGCTGCAAAATAGAGATTCTCAAAAGAGCTAAACACTGAGCTAAGAGCAGGACATGACGGCTCACACCTGTAATCCCAGCTACTCAGTTTCTTGAGCAGCTGGGACTACGGTTGCATGCCACCTTACCTGGCTTTTTTTTTTTTTTTTCAGAGACAGGGTCTCATTTTGTTGCCCAGGCTGGTTTTAAACTCCTGGCTTCAAGCAATCCTTCCGCCTCAGCCTCCCAAATGCTAGGATTACAGGTGTGAGCCACCATACCCCACCCTGTGACTATTCTTGTATATTGCTCTTATGTCTTCCTTTGCTTGGATTTTTAATTGCAGAATGTGTTTAGTAGATTCTGTAAATTTATTGCGGCTTGCCTTTGATACATTTGGTTATGATTTAGTTAGTAGGTGGCCTGGAGGAATGTTTTGAAGTTAGATGACAGGGGCCGGCTTTTAGCTCAGAATAACTTTTTTTTTTTTTTTTTTTCTTAAAGACAGAGTCTTGCTCTGTCGTCCAGGCTGGAGTGCAATGGCACGATCTTGGCTTACTGCAACCTCCGGCTCCTGGGTTCAAGTGCTTCTCCTGCCCTAGCCTCCCGAGTAGCTGGGATTACAGGTGTGCACCACCACGCCCAGCTAATTTTTGTATTTTTAGTGAACACGGGGTTTCACCATGTTGGTCAGGCTGGTCTTGAACTCCTGACCCCGTGATCTGCCTACCTCGGCCTCCCAAAGTGCTGGGATCACGGGTGTGAGCCATTGTGCCCGGTTAGCTCAGAACAACTTGTTGAGATTATATGATGCTTTTCCAATAAAAATTATTTAATTTTGATAAGATATACTTAATGGAAAATGTACCTTGTAACATTTTAAATTGTACAGTTCAGTGGCATTGAGTATATTCACATTGTTGTACAACCATCACTACCACTCATCCACAGAACATTTTTTACCTTGCAAAACTGAAACTCTGTGCCATTAAACAATAACTGCCATTCTACGCCCCCATCCCAGGCCTTGGCAACCACCATTCTACTTTGTCTGTCTATGAATTTGACTACTCAGAGTACTTCATGTAAGTGGGATCATACAGTTTTTGTCCTTTCATTACTAGCTTCTTTCACTTAACATAATGTCTTCAAAGATCATCCTTATTGTAGCATGTGTTAGAATTTCTTTCCTTTTTAAGTCTGTATGATACACCATTGTATATACATACTACATTTTGTTTATTCATCTGTCAATGGACATTTGTGTTGCTTCTACATTTTGGCTGTTGTTAATACGCTGCTGTGAACATGGGTGTACAACTTTCTCTTAGAGATCTTCTTTTCAGGTCTTTTGAGATATATACCCATAAGTGGAATTGCTGGATCTTATGGTAATTTTGTTTTTAATATTTTGTTGTGTTTGTGTTTTTTGTCTTAGATTTTTTTCCTTAAGTTTTTCCAGAAGAGAGCAGTTTTAGGAATAGAATAGAGAAACACATACTTTTAAAGTACTATCTCAGACTGTAGGCCCATTATGATCATGTCAGTAGCACCCATGTACTGAATAAGTGAACTCAAAGAAAGGTTATATCGGGCAACTACCTCAAAGTTTTGTTATCTCTGCTTGCAATTTTTGTTTAGTCATTGAAGAAGTGCTTGAGGGCTTACTGCATGTGAGGCTCTGTAGACTAAGTATTAATTAACTTTCTTTTTTGTCCTTGCAGTAGCAGGTACAGCTTTGATCTCAGTTTTCTGCCAAATGAATGGTTCTGTGTTTTGTGCTCATTCATTTACAAACAGAGATCCTTCTGACCACCTTGGAACCAGAAGGTGTATGGTCAGAGAACTATAAATGGGCTGCTCTCTGCCTCTCTCACAGCAGTTCTGCCCCTCCTTGGGACCACTTGTTTTCTGCATTCCTGGCCTATCCTCTGTGTATCTCTGGTCCCAATTCCAGAGGAAACCTGTTTGACTTGAGTAGATGCCATTGCCCTTATTGGGCTTTGCCTCAGGAGTTGCTGGTTAGCCTGTGAAGGGGTTCCCTTTGGGTTGATGACATTGCTCCCATCCAGAAAGTGGCTACTTCTACCCTCCTACTCCCACCACTCTGTTGATGAGCTGTTATCATCAAAAGAGAATTTCCACTGTCTGCTCTGTACCAGAGAAGTGCTAGGCTTCATAAATATTGGTAATGGATGTCTGAATGGGATGCAAGTTGGCAGGCCCTGGGATGGATGGCCTGGTTCATCTGCATCAGAACTGGAGAAACAAAATCACACCAAATTGCAGACTTTTTTGGAAGAGCGTATTAGACAAGGTTTGTGGACTGTTT